TGCGTTTCACGCAGTTAAATAGCTCTGGGATTGACATCCAGGCATTACGGCCTCCCATTTCTCGGATGTGCATTTGCACGTGTCATCGAGTGGTCGTCTGGCACGGGGATTTCATCCGGCCTGCGCGTCGGCAGGACATCGACATCGGCCATGGAATATGCTTGCGCAGGTTAATCGTCCGGCTGGTTCGTGTGTCGCTTGTCGTGCCTTGCTTCATGTCGGCGCTTGTCGCGGGATGCGCTGAGTTGGGCAGCAATCTGGTTGGGCCGTCTCCTAGCTGATCGCGTCCACATGCAACACCAGAATCTTCATCACAGTCGGTGAGCGGAGCGGCTTGCACGAATTGGCATTGCCACCACACCGTGGTTGAGGTGCTTGTCATCGAGTGCCGTGCACTTGCGGGTCTTCCTCACAGGAACTGGTATGGCGCGGGATGTTGTCGCTTGAGGCTTAGCTTGAGCTCATAACCTATGAAGGTAAGGGTAGGATCGTAGGATCGTAAAGAAGAAGAAGAATGTGAGGTGGAGCCGCCAAAAGGCGAAGTAAAGTTTATTAGTCGAGAGAGCTCCTGCCAGAAAGCAAGAGATGGCTGGTGCGGAGCATAATACTATGGGAGACTGTATAACATACTACATACCACAATAACAGCTTTAAGAGGGACTGAGTAACTGGCTATCAGCTTTTAGGGAACACTGTGCCATCGGTTAAAGAGGTTACTTCAACAGCGTGTAGACTGTCTGTTTGAGCAAATTGTAGCAGTATACTTTCCTAGGAGGTCGGTGACACAGGTACTTCCCTGCAGTTGCCGTTTGGACGCGCGAATGCAGCGTAGGGTGTGCTCAATGCAGTCTCCACTGTTGTAGCCTGCGGTGACTTGATACATTGTTCGCCTTCACCAGAGCGCAAAGCATTTCGAGTACGTAGAAAGAAAAGTACCAAATGCGGCATCCCTTTTATTCGTTGAGCGGTTGCTTTTGCAGGATTGGGTCCCTACCAAAAATAGAGAAATCACCCGACATAGATGCAGCAGATATGACAGGTCTTAAACGGAGCATACCAAAAATAGAGAAATCACCCGACATAGATGCAGCAGAAATGACAGGTCTTAAACGGAGCGAGACGTAAAAATGGTCTCAATAAACAGCCCTAACACTAGACTTATGTCGTGTAGCCATCATAAAAAATAATGTTGAAATTTGTATGGATTATGTTGACCATCACTCTGCAGGCATATCGGCGACATAACTCATCTTGTGCGCCTCCAGCTTCAACCTCTCACTTTCGAAAAATCACGGCCAAGTGACAAGCGCCTGGAAGCGCTGCAGTCAGCATAAAAAAAACACCGGGTAAGTTGCCTGATACGACTAGCGGCTTGGTCGAAACTATGCTAACATGTTCTACTAATACTCGCAGCGATCATGGTTCGCCTCGTACACTCCGCCGTGCACTGGACCGCACGATGCATCCTGGACTCGTCGAGTGAAGACGAGAACGTGCCGCCGAATGTGCAGCGAGGCGGCACCCAAGCGCCAGCCGAGAGCGCGAAGTCTTCCTCCCCCGGGAGCACCAGCTTCACGGGGACCACGACGGTGCTGTGGATGTCGCCGCAGCACGGGCTCCGCGCCCCGAAGGAGGTGTCCAATCCCCCGACGAAGGCTTCGACGGCTGGCGCCACGGTGACCACGCCGCTCACGACTGATCCTGTGCCGACGACGGCTGGCGTCACGGCGGCAACGGCGCCCGAGACGGATCCCGCCACGCCTGCAACCCCGCCGCCCACGAGGAATCCGCATAACCCGACAACGTCGTCGCCGGTTCTGCTGGAAGGTCCGCCATCCCCACACCCACGATCGTCTCCGCCGCCAGACCGACGGCCACTCCGTGAGCGCCATAGCTCGCGCAGCGAGCGACGAGCGGCTGCTGGACCGTATGAACGTCACGAGCGGCGTCATGAAGCGACATCGCCGACGGTGGCGCCGAATGGTGTCATGCGCGCAGCCCGTGGGTCGGCGTCTCTGGTTCCAGCGCACCCAGCTCGCACTCGTGGTGTTCACTACCAAGGCCGCTTCGTTCCCGCCCGCTGGCCGTTCTACGTAGCCCACCTCCGCACGCAATTTAATCCCACGGGGGTCATCTTCCCTGCGGTCCCGCACTTCGGCTGGTGCGACTGCGAGGACCCGTGTCGAGTTGGACGCTGCCGCAACTCCCTCATGCAGCTATATTGCAACGTGAACTGTTGCCCCTACAGCGGCAACTGTGGGAATGGTTTGGTCGAGTCGACCAAGGTTGCCTTGGCGAGGAACGTGGTGACCAGACAATTGGCCGTGGTGGCGCAGCAGTTCATCGCTGCTGGCGTGGTTTTGGGCAAATACCTGGGAGAGATTGAGCATGTGAGCGCCTCTCACGCTGCTCGTCCGCGGAATGAAGGCTATCGGCTGGTCATGACGCAGAGGCCCGAGACACCAAGCCACCCCGTCCGAGTAGCCGTCAACGCGCAGCAGATGGGTGGACTAATGCGCTTCGTCAACCACTCGTGCGCGCCTGTGGTGCACTTCTTGGAAGTTGCGAATGGGCGGCAGACCACAGTGGTTGTGGCCACCGCGCACGCCATCGACGAGATAACCGTGGACTACCGACCAGATCTTTGGTTCGTGTGCCGCTGTGGCCACGCGAATTGCCGCCACGGCGACATCCAACACTAGCAAGACCCGTAGGCGGCGCTCTCAAGGTCGAGGTCTGGTTGAAGTCAAGAAGAAGTAGTGGGAGATTTGCAGCAATTGGTAAGGACATTGTATTCAAGTCTGGTTCGCTGTTGAATCTTACTGCGTTGAGGTGCATCTATCCCTTGTACCTTGCCTTTGCTGTTGACGTGCCAGCAGAGATCGACGTGAACTTGGCGCCAAAATGAACGCTGTGAGCTGCTATGTGGCTCGATGTTAATCTTTGTATCAACCACGAGCTCGCTTAGTTTGCGCGCCAACTAGGCCCGCGAGTAGCTGTACGCGCCAACTTCAAGTAGCAGTCCTGTGTTTGCCTTGCAGGAGCCTCCTTCGGCGACGGAGAGGAAACCAAGCTCCTGTGGCTCTCATTATTGGTTTTCCCAAGCCTCGCTCAAGTCCACGCCCCCACTCGACCCCGCTCACCTCCTCCTACCCCGTTTCCGGTACGCTGCTCTCCTCATGAAAGCTGCCGTCGCGTCACCTTGGCACCTACATGTTACTGTTTGACACTCACAACCTCGTGCATTTGCTTTGGTTATAGATGGCGAAGTTGAGTAGAAGCACTAACAACAAGCTGTCCGAAGTGCGTCGCCTCCTGGCGCTCGACAAACACTACCTCCCGCTTGGCAAGGACGAATGGGAGCGAATCACAAACTCCTACAACGCGAACCGATGCCGTGGTGTCGCCGAGCGCGACCACGAGCCTCCGTCGAAAGTTCAAGGTGCTCTACAGTGCGCGCAAACCTACGGGCGTGGCCGACATGCGGCCACATGTGCAGCTGGCGAACCAGCTTAAACAAGCTATCGACGACAAGGCCAGCGTCGTCGACATGGACGACGGTGCCGACGTCGACCAAGTAGATGAGGAGTATGATCAGGACTTCTCGTTCGACTTCGAGGGCGAGGAGGGGCTCGGGGACATCACGCGCGAAGACGCCGACGCTGACTCAGGCGGGAGCACCACCACTAACGACTCGATGCACTCCGGCGAGACGCCGACGTCGGTCGGTGACAGCGTGGGCAACGCGGACCTGTCGGAGCTGCTCGACGCAGCCGGCGTCTGCGAGGGGCTAGAGGCATTCGCGACGCCGCGCCCTCTTCCGCCGTCGGCGAAGTCGATGCAGCGCAAGTTGCGCTCTAGCTCGGCAAAGAATGTTGGGCAAGGGCCCACTGCTGCTGCTGCAGCAGCGGCTGCCGCTGGCGCATCTACGACAGCAGCCAGCGCTGCTAAGGCTAAGTCTGGTTCGCAGCAAGGCGCTAAAGGGCGCGCGCCAAGCAAGAAGGAGTCCAAGCCGAAAGGCTACGCGACTTCCTCGAA